AGTGGTCGATAACAACAAGACTGAACTCATATCCTCCTGTACAACACTGCAGTTGAAAGGAAGCTACCTTTACATGGACATAAGTAATCAGAATCCTGTGAACATTATTATGATAGGATTCAGCAGGATCAGTGCAGAATTGTTATCTGACTGAGAGGGGTGGTTAAAATAAGGTTCTGCTTGATACTTGTATATTGAACTTTTAAACTTTTTTCTACAAACCTCAGTCATATCCTTTTTCTTCTATGGCCAGTGGAATTGAATCACAAATCAAGCTTATTGTCATTTCAATGGAAAGATGTCACATTTCTTTATGTAGTTCTTTGTGTATTGGTGGTGGAATACCTTTGGAGGCATCAGCTGAGCTTCTTTGGAGGCCTTCATTATTAGGTGACTTATTTATGGACAAAAATATGCCATCAATGCGAATCGTTCTGCAATGCTGAGACAACTGCTCTCGCAAACTAACTCAGCTTGCTAATGGCTGAATTCTCTTGGTGTGTCTTTGTGAGATCCTCTGCTAATAATTCTATCACTGGATGCGTTATTTGTTAATAGTCTTCATCACTGCATGTTGGTATTATGACTTCTTGGATCAGCTATTTCCATTTGTTACGGGATGTCAGGTGAACTGATTGCATGATAGGAATGATTACCTCTTGTTCCATTTCCTGAACGTCCAGGGGCTTCTGTGACAGCCCTTGAGCATCCTCATTACCTTTTCCCACTTGCCACCTGACAAAAAAGCTGTAGTCTGCAAACTTGGCAATCCAGCAGTGACTAATAATTAAGGCTGGCTTTGCATCCATCCTACCATTTTCTTCTGCTTACTCAAGATCATTAAGTAGGTTGAACAGGTACAACATTAAACCCCAAGAATCCCAGTCATTGGCCAGGTGGGATGTTGGTCTTTTTAGCTAGTTCTGGGTCTTCCCTTGGGTCTCCTCCCATTCGTATTTACTAGGAGGAGACATCATGTTCAGATACCACCACCTAAACTGACTACTTTGGACGTGGAGAAACAACATCTCCACTTTGAACTTCCCTCGGATCAGTGAACTCCACAACCTATCCCCAAGACTCAGGCCAGCCTGAAAAGGAATCTAATTTCACCTGCTTGTATCTATGATCTCTTTTTTTGGTCATAGTCCATATCTCTCAACCAGAGGTGAGATTCTGAATGTATTCTGATCCATGAATCGAGAGCTTGGCTCTTTGGCTCGGCTCTTTCTTTACAACAAATCAAAGCAGTGCCTTCATTCCTGCAAACAAAAGCCCTGATTCGTCTGTTTGTCATACCATCTTACCATCACTTGTAAGAAACCTAGATACTGCTACTCCTTGGCTGTAGGCCGACACTGTTGCATCTTTTCTTGCATGAGAACCATGGCCTCAGACTTAGAGTAGCTGATTTTGTCCATAAACATGTGCAGTTACGTCCAAAAAGCTACAAATGATAAGAGTGTTTGAAGTTTTCCTCTCATTAAAATTGGGCTGGAGGCAACATAACCTCCCCTGACTTAATGTGTTCATGAAGGACAGTTGCTTTCAAGCAAGATTAACAACGCATTTGTTTAAAGTGGTCTGTGACCGTATTATTTGAACATAGTTAAAGTTTCCAGTCCAACTTTCTTTCATTTTTTTTCTCAGTCGTTTTATACTTTTTTTTATATAATCGTGATGTTTTAATGATTTATCTAATTTATTTTTAAATATTTGTATTGCCTCCATACCACTGCAATGTATTTTCTTGTCATTATTTTTCATGTGCAGCACTTTCAATCGTGTCGCCACTAAAATGTGCTGTATTTATAAAGTCTCCTTGCTTGCCTTACAAAGAGTGCTAACAGAGAAGCATTAATCAAGAGTTTGCGTCTCTTGACTCCTGCCTACCTTAGTATCAGCTGAAATTCCATTATTATTATTATTACGGTATTACAGCATTAATAATTTTCCTGCCTATCAGACAACAATAGAACAACTTATTATAGAAAAAAGAAAGTCTTCAATTATAGATTTGTACTGATCAAAACCTTATAACACATTTTAACCTCTTGGCTGAAACGTATTATATTTAAATGTTCTTCAACACAAATTAAGTTGTGCTGTGATTTACATCCTATTAGGTAAATGTACGTTAGTGTTTTTTGAAGAACTGCAGGAAAACCACAGCAGTTTTTATCCTCTTATGTTCCAAAGACCAACACAAGAAAACATTTTAAGACAGAGAGAGCTAATTTATTTCCCAGACAGCATTAGAGAATGTTTTTCATTTTGTGTGGCTCCCCTGATTTCACAGTTGCCATGGTGATGGCTTTTAGTATATAAGATGTGTGGCCCTCCCACTCGGCCAGACACAGCCTCCTGAAACAGCTGCTCAGGCGGCAGTTTGCTTGTGTCAGCATATGTTTCTGACATGTTTGTTCTTTGCAGCCTGCATTGTTCTGGGAAATCCTTCCTAAAACTCAGGTACTGCAAGTAAAATCACTGAAGTCGGTTAAAATTATTCTCATTTCTTGTTTCTGTAGGGGTCCAGGTGCAGGTTGGATTCATGGGGTTGGGTCAACTCATTCATTGGGGGTTGGAAGCCTCATATGTAATTATGCTCCATGCATGTTACCTTTCTAAAAAAAAAAAAAGAAACCAAAACAGTTAAGTCATAGATATTATGCTCTTGCTTGTTTGGATGTTTGTAGAGAAAATGCTCTGCAGACTTAGATGAATACTGTATGTTTTATGCAGACATAGGAGACTTGTGCTATAAATAAAACAGGGCTGCAGCGTGCTTACTTGCGGAATAATCTATCTGACACTATGGAGAAAGCCTGATAGAGGGGATGAAGGAGATGAAGAAAGGAGCTTGGATAGAAAGAAACCAATATGATTTTAAACAGAAAGAGATGATTAAAGAAAGGAAAGTACTACAACGATGCTTTACATGTTGTATCTATTTAATCTTTGTCTTTTGGGAATTGTTTCTTTAGTTTGAGCTCTCTATACTTCTGTTACAGATATTTAACCAGTCCTGAAAATATATTTCACTAGTTGGGTTTGTTAAAAAAAAAAGTCACAAGAAACAAGAAAATTGTTTTCTACTTGACAGTTTTCTACAAGAAAAATATGTGCTGACAGAGAACAGTGGGAAACCTACAGTACTGAGTGGATGCAAGATTACCAGGGAGGTGACCAGAATCTGATTTTCCATTTGACCTTTATTTGATCTTTTTCCTATGTTTACTGTACAGTGCTTTGAAATCTAATAAAAAAATTTTTTTCAGACTTAAATGTTTTATGTAATCAAATTAAAGTTAATATTAGACAAAAAATCTGGGCCGATATAAAATGCTTTTTAAAATTTAGGATTTCATTAATTACAAGAAAAAAAAACATACCCAAAACCACTTGGCTCTTTGTGAAAAATATTTATCCTACCTTAGTAAACTATAAATTAACCAACAATGACACATTGTGTGTATGTTTTTAAGTAGCCACATCCATACTTGGTTATTCCCAGAGATGTGTAATTAAGAAGCTACATAGGTGGAACCTCTCTGACAACATGAAGTAGGTAAAAAGATGTAACAAAGCAACACTTCATGCCCCAGTTTAATAAAGCTTACGTACAGATGAGGAAAAAAAAGAAAATCTAAGCCATTTCTAAGCTGAAGTCCATGGTTGAAGGTCTTTCAAAGTTAACTTTAGACATAATAAGAGATTGTCTTTGGCACTACAGGGTTTATTCATTTATTATGAATTATTAGTTATTCTTGTCTACTGAAGAAGGACATTTGCTTTTCAGTGCAAAGCTGCCTCTAGCAGTGTGGGTTCTACCCATGTCATGATGTTGCTCTTGGTCTGCTGCAGCATTGCATCCATACCATTTCCAGCTATTAGGCTTCTATTTAGAAGGGCTGAACAAAGTCCGAAAGGTCTCTGAATTCTTGGGACAATCTGTTGATAAAGTCTATTGTACATTTCTGAGAGAAGCTCAAGACATAACCTGGCAAGCCAGATTGATATAATGCAGCACTTTCAGTCTGAACATTACCAATCTGAGACTGCTTTGATTTAATCTGGTCTGGGAGAGGAGGGATATTCAGCAGAACCTTCTGAGCTGTTGGGCAAAGTGACACCTATTGCCCAGCCACCCCTACCAAAGTTTGGTTCTACCCAATCACAGTAACAAATGGAATAGCAGCAGACGCTGTGAGAAACGACAAAAACTAATGTTTTATGCTGTTGATGTCCCCTTTTTCAAAAATGAAATCGTGGATGCTGAAAAAGCAGATGTGAGCAGCTACATGTTCGTCCTCCTGTTCTACCATGTTTTTTCACTGCAAAGTAATTGGCTAACCCATTTTGGATCGTTCTCGTTGAAGTGGGATCAGGTCAGGATGGATTTTCAAGTTTGTGAAGGCAGTAAAACCACAACAATTCAGCTTGATGTCAAGGTTACGCGAGTCAAAAGCGTTTTAAAAATACCTTGTTTTGGTAACATTTTCTCTCAAAAATCAAACAGCCAGATTGACTCTTCCATCAGAGGGAGCATCTGCAAATATGCTTTAAAAATTACACACCTCCTTTTGAGTCATACATATGCTTAAATGCTTACGATCATTGTTATTTTTCAATGAGGTTTATGGACAAGTCATCAATTTAACTCAAGCTATTATCACACAGAAACCCAAACAATGAAAACAAATATAAAGATTTTAATGTTCAGTGTAAATAAGAATAAAAACATAGGAGGTGTTTAAATACGGTATTATATGCATGTTAATGCAAGTGTATTTTATTAAAAAAAAAGGAATTCTTTTGTTACTTTAACATGTCAAAAGGTTGTAAGACAACGGTTTTAACAGTCATTCCTAACCTCAATGTTTTTTTTATAATGAGAGGTTTATATTAAACACAAATCACAATACTATATTTGTACTGTAGTAACCAAGGTTCAGTAAAGGTATTCCTTTCATTCTTTCTCTCGTTGTTTCTCCTGTCAGGTTATGGAGCTAAAGGGTCAGATGATTCATGTCCCTGAGTCCTGTTCCTTGATGTTTCTGGGTTCTCCGCGTGTTGATAAGCTAGAGGAGCTGATGGGCAGGGGTCTCCATCTGTCAGACATTCCCATCCATGATGCCACTCGAGATGTTATCCTGGTAGGAGAGCAAGCCAAGGCCCAGGATGGCCTAAAGAAAAGAATGGACAAATTAAAGGTAAAATACAACTCCAGTTTTAGGCTTCTAGTAACAACGGAGACTTTTAAGTTGCTGAGACTATGTGACAAGCATGCAAGTGTTCTTCATCTATCACAGAAAAAAATAATGCAACCATTTCTGGTATTTACTTAATCACATTTAGTTACTTTAACACAACTGTTTCATGTTACAAGGGTAGGACATAAAACAATTGTGTTAAAGTAATTAAATATGATTAAGTAAATGCCAGAAATGCTTGCATTATTTTCCTCAGGCTTAGTACAGATTTTATGTCTGAAATGAGAGTAAAATCATTTAGACTTAAACAGTTGGTCCTTGCAAAAAAGTTATCAATATTATTATTTTCTATGAGCTTTGCTATATGTATTTTTTAAATGTTGCACACCTTATACTGCATTTGTTTTGCTTTTTTTTTTTCATCTTGATAACCACTCTGATTAAATTCAGGGACAGCATGTATCATATATTTATGCTGCAGCTCTCAATGTGGATTTCTAGAAATAGTGATAAAGGATCATTTGTTCTTTCCATTTAGTGTTAGTTGTGTGGATAAGGAGGACAATTTTTCTTTTACATTGGTTGAAATCTCAGTAATATCAATTAAAAGGATTCAAATCTCACTGCAGCTCTCTGCATCCTACATATAAATCACCTCTTTATGAGCAGAACTGTTCTCTTGACATTTATTCTTAGAAGGGTTGTGATCTTTGGCTTTAAAGATCACAAACTGGCTTCAAAGCTTATTGTAACAACTCAGTGGATCTTTTCTGCATCCATCTCTGTCTCTGCAACCACTCCCTCAGGCCTGAGTTATAAATAGCTTTATCATACTAAACATGCTTGAACATTACTAAAGCATTGGAGCTGTAGGCAGGTTACAAACAGCTTACATATCTTAAAATAAATGCCCAATAACCGTATCTGCATAAGGTAGCATGTTTTTATTTGATGCATTACTGCTAGCATTTATGTCTTCCAGTCTCCTGATCTCCCTCCCTCTTCTCTCAGGCTACCTTAGAGAGGACTCATCAAGCTCTGGAGGAAGAAAAAAGGAGGACAGTGGATCTCCTCTATTCCATATTTCCGGGTGATGTGGCGCAGAAGCTGTGGCAGGGTCAGCCAGTGCCAGCGCGTAAATTTAATGATGTCACCATGCTTTTCTCCGACATCGTGGGCTTTACTGCTGTGTGTGCCCACTGCACACCTATGCAGGTTATCTCAATGCTGAACGAGCTCTACACTCGCTTTGACTACCAGTGTGGCATTCTGGATGTTTATAAGGTCAGTGGATGGAAACATGCAACTTCAAATAGGGTCATTGGAGGAAGGTATTAAACATGTTGGTATTTAATCCCTTTAAATCCTTTGTCTACCACAACTTATACCAGTGTAACCACAAATACAATCTGATGAAATTTAACATATTTTCTGAATGTTTTTAATCAGCAGAATTTAAAGTTTGTGATGAGTTTTATTCATCTTTCTTATTTTGCTACTCTTGAACCAGCTTTAGCTCAAACCGCAGATGCAAGCCTTTAAGTGTATGTTTGTAACACTTTTGCACATATGCTTACATTTTTTCTTTTTGTTTTTTCATTGCAAAGGAAGTGCGATTCAGACAAAATTGAAAATGCTTTTTAACATCTTTGCTTTTTTGATGAATTCTCTTCTACTTTTAGGTCCAGATATTGACAATTCTAACACACACATTTACTTTGATCTAAAAACTATTTCATCACAGCATCTGCTGCATGTTTTAAGTAGTTCTGATGAACAATGATCCTCCATCTGAAGTGGAAGTATTGTTCCTCTGTATTTTTCCCCTCATTTTACTATAATTATTAACCAGGTCCCCTGTTGTACTAAAGAAGGGAGTCTCTATAGCATAATGCTGCCATCATGTTTCAGTATAGTGATGACGCTTTTGTGCAGCATTTAATTTCTATTGTTTGTTGCATTTTAAATATAAGCCAAGGTCAGGTTGGTCTTTTCTGACCAGAAAAACTCCTGGATGCCTCCCTTGGGAGGTGATCAAGGCACATCCAACTGGGAGGAGGTTCAGGGAACGACCAAGGAAATTTGGAGGACCTGTGCCTCTTGGGGTGGCCTGGTATGGCCTTGGGCTCCACCCAGCAGAGCAGGAGGAGGCATCTGGGGAGAGGGAAGTTTGGGAGTCTCTCCTGAGACTGCTGCCCCTGCGACCCGCAACATAAAAAGGGAGGTGACAAATATGCATAACATTCCACTGCAGCTTTCTCTCAACTATGGTTTACATCCTGCCATCCACCCCTACAGGATAGATTTGTAGAGTCCTTGAATTCTAGTTGACCTCAGCTGTGGAACTCTACAGCTCCTCTGCCGTTATCATTGGCTTCACGGCTGCTTCGCTGATTTATGTTCTCCTTGCTAAACCCGTCAGTTTTTCTACGCATCCTTTTCTTGAATAATAGAGGTTATACCACTCATTTTCTAATTTTGAAAACTTTATTGAACAGCGTTCCATAAGATGTTCAAAGCCTGGAACCCTGTTTTTAAATCATAACGTCATGGGCGCAGGTTTGCATAGGGACCATAGGGACATGTCCCTACCAAACTTTTGGCCCCACCTACTTGTCCCTACTAATAATTCTATGTGAATGACATGTTTATAATTTACAATACAGTGTTGTTGCAGCAGGCGCTTCTTTTCTCACAACTTGTATATTGAAGTTAATATTTTAAATGCTCAGTGTCATTTCCTCTTATAGTCCCCGCGTCCATGTAAATACAATAAATCTATTTGCAGTCCCTTCAATATGTTATTTTGCTTTGTTTTACAATACAGAGAATATCAGCATATCAGATTAAAAAAAATAAGAGTGGGTTTTACCTCTGTTTGCCGCTGCACAATTCTATTCTTCAAAAGAAAACACCCGATAAATACATAAACAACAGATATATTTAGACTATATTTGGTTAAAAAGGCACATATTTACCTTCTGTCTTAGTCACTGGTAAGTTCAAATGTAACCCTTTTCAAAGTGTTAAGTTGTCCCAATTTTACATTATTCTGAGCCACTGATGCTTCAAACATTGATAAACAGCATATTGGGAGTGTAGTGCTTATAAAATGTGTATAAATGTAGCAAAAAAAATGCTGTTTTCTCTTTAAATGAAATGCACCCTGATGCTCACATCAAGTATAAAAAAAATAGGAGCATGCATAATAAGCAGGACCAATGACATCAGACCAATTCAACTTAAGACCAATAGTGTCCCTACCAAAGTTGAGATCAAACCTACGCCCTTGCATAACCTTGCTTTCAATTTTCTTACAACTACACACAGGGTCTGCTGTGTTCCTTGGTCTTCATGATGCTGTTTCTTCATTAAAGTTTTTTTTATTTTTTTTTTTTTTTTACAAATCTCTAAAGCCTTCACAGAACAGCTTTGTTTATATTGCAATTACATTTACACAGGTGGACCTTTAGGTACTAATTAGCTTAGTTCTGGTGGAAATCATTCAGTTTGATTTTGAAGTGCCAGAATAAAGTCACCAAAATACTTTTGAAAGTCAATGTTTTTGCTTGTATGAGCACATTTGTGTGTAGATGTGTGTTGGCAAAGTGAATAATAGCCGTTCGCTTTAGGCTTGACTAAGATTCTGACACCTTTCTGACATTTTCCTCTGACTTTCCTATAAAAATGGACTCCTCGTGTATAGGCTGTCAAATATGTGACATAGCAGATATGGTGAGAGATGGGAAGACAAAATGCTGAGAAGAAGGGAGACGGTGGCTGTGATAAGGATGTTTTCTGAGTGTTGCGATAGAGGAGTTGGTTTGTGTGTCAAACAGAAAGCAGGAACAGGAGGACGCAAGAGGAGAGTGAATCACCCATATGTCGCCATTGTCATGGTTACTGTTAAAATGATTTAGCCTGTGGCAGACTTTAATGAGAGCAGGTTTTATTCCAGATTTTTTCTAGGTTGTCTGTTGAAAAGCTATTTTTTACACAGACTGTGAGCAGTATTGATTACTAACCTGCTTTTTTCTTATGTATAATAGATTAATTAGCAAATTTTTTTTTTTTTTTTGGTTTTTTGGTAAAAGATGAAAAGAACAAGTCATTTTTTTCCAAATGCCACATGTATGCTAGCATTATGAAGATAAAACGCTGTATTTAGAAAACCTATTTCTTTCCTAATAATTTATCATTACAATTTGATTGTGATAAAACAGTTTCCATTAGTGTTACAGACAAATTGGGCATTATGCTTTGATTCAAAGGAAAACAGAAGTTAAAGATATCAACTTATGTTGACAAAGTAATATATAAAAAAAAGATTCATCTATGCATTTTTAATCTGTTATTTTCATTTTTCCAATAACAACACATAAATATCCTGGGAAAAGAAAGATGTGCTAATAGATACAGTTAACATAACCTGGAGATGGTCAGTTTACCTCTTTGTGGCATTGGTTGTCATTTGCCAAAAAATAATTGAGTACAGAATGCGGCCAGCAGCACGAAAGAGGACGTTTATGCTGACTTTATGTAAATTTATACTGTCCGGAGAAAGTTTAAAGAGCATTATATATTTGTTGCTCCTAATCTAATGTAAGGCAATGTGTTCTTATGACTCTAAAGAATCTTGAATATCAGTAACAATACTGTTTAATCCAAAGTTTGCAGAAAATATTATAATTTCATTAAAATATGTAAGAGATTTGAATTTTTTTTTACAAAAATGATTTATCTTTATTAGTAAATAAAATACAAGTAAATAAAATAATAGTGCAATGTTCAATAGTTTATTTGGGGAAAAATTATTTGTCAATGGTTTGAAAATGAAAGTAAGAGGGAAATGAATAGCTAGAAAATTAGGTATGATTTGGTCAAAAACTCTAATTAATCAGAATCAGACAAATAGAAGAACAAATCCCAGCCATGGCAGTGTACCATACGTCCTTTTGTTGTCCCCAAAGAGGAATGTTCTCTAATCTGGAAAGAAAGTTTGTTGGGATGTCACAGAAAGTCGGAGAGCTAAATTCCTTGGTTTTTCCATGCAGCATCTAGTGGGATACAGACTTAAACTTAAAGTTGAAAATGAGTGTCAAAGATGATGCTAGCTCCAAACCTCCTTACGTTAAGTCATTTTTAGCCTTATGTCCCTTTTTCATAAGGTTAAAAGGGCTGCCATTGTGGGGCGCCCGGGGAGCAGTATGGGGTTAAGGGCCTTGCACAGTGTGCAGGCTGTGGGGATCAAACCGGGCACTTGCAAACTTCTCAGAGCACAAGCGCACTGCTCTAACCACTAGGCCACCACTCCCAGTTAAAGGTCTCTTTGATGTTTCAACACAATTCAATGCACCACTTCCTATGTGTGTTAACAATGTCCGTCATGTGATGCTTTGTCCTCCAACAAATATGGTCTGTTCTCTATATCAGGAATATTTGTTTTGCCTTTTCTCTTGTTTTAAGATTGCATTTTCAATATTTCCAAGCATAAGAAAAATACAGTAAATTGTAACGTGTTTTATTTTTTATTATTATTTTAAAACTAAGCAGTTGAAAATTATAGACAAAATTAGAGACAAATATATGTCAAACTTAGAAAACAGGTGTTACAGACTCCTAGGAATCCGATGTTCGATTACAGGCCTATAGGATGATCTATGATTCTAATAAACCAGTTTTGTAAATCCTGAAAACAAACATGATTTCTTAATGTGGGTCAAGGATTGTGTTTTATTTTCAGCTCTAGTGATTCACTGTATACAGTACGCAAATGATCAATGCTGCAACCATTTTGTAAAAAGGTTATTGTTCATCTCCTGCTTCTCCTCACTCTCCCATACAGATTGAAACAATCGGGGATGCCTACTGTGTGGCAGGCGGACTTCATAAGAAGGTTGATAGCCATGCAAAACCAATTGCACAAATGGCTCTTAAAATGATGGAGCTTTCTGAGGAAGTACTGACGCCTGATGGGAAACCTATCAAGGTGAGTTTTTGTTTAGTTTCTTTCTTTACCATACAAGTGTATTGAGATATGTAAAAGGTACTCAGATTCTTCACTTGACTAAAGTGAAAAAAGTTCAGGTTCTACATTGTAATTGAGTACAAAAGTAAAAGAAAGTGTTTGTCCTTAATGATACAAAATAACTTTAAAAACTATATTCTTAAAAAAAAAGTTTTTTTTTTGTAATAGAAAATATGTTAATTTTCCCCTTTGCTCACTTGTGTTTTTAGAGAAAACAAAAAAGTCCTATCTCGGTCTATTTTTGTTCTAAATTAAAATTTCAGACAGGATAACATAGTTAGAACTGAACAGAGATCCTGCATGTGCAGCTGAATACTTTGAAAATTCTTATATTCACAGCATTAAACTTGCAAATATCATTAAAATTGAAACAGAACTCAAAACTTAATAAACATATTAATCTAAAATCTTATGAAGATGGAGATTGTTTTGTGTCTTAAAATCTTATTCTGTCCTTTCCCAGCCCCCTGTCTTCATTTATATAGCTATCAGGAGTTTTCCATAAACACACTGGGCCCCAACTGAGTACATTCTCTTTTTGGTTTTTCCCTTTTTGTTGCAGCTGATAGGTCATTTTATCAATTTATATGGAAGTAAAGAGACAGCTGTGAGAAAGTAAGGAGTAGAAAGTAGAGATATTTGTGTTCAAATGTAGGGAGCAAAAGTACAGGTACTGAAAAAAGTAACTAATTAACAAAGTATTTAATCTAAGGTATTTAACACCTCCGTCTGTTTTGGGCTATAAGCCAAAGTTATTTCAGCCATCTAGCGTTTTGAGAGTAACAAAGATTAATGTAGTATAGATTCACTATTCTCTTGTCTATAATTAAGATCATTGCATTATCCTATTTTAAGGGTTAATGTTCTACTTTTTCTTTAGCAGTTTACAAACTGAGGATCAACAATATTGTATTTCGGGTTACATTCAGAATTATTGTACCACCAAGTCTAGCTGAATATGTAATTGTGAATAAAGTAAGACATTATTGAATATTTAGTTTGGTTTGTTGCTCAGAAACATGAGAAAGGATATGTAAAGAACAACAAAGTCGGTAATATATTCAAAAGCAGCTTAAGTAAAACCGTAGTTTGATATGTAATGACACTGCAGATTATTTATTTATTTAAATTGTATTTATTTGATTACTACTGGAATGTCCCCCCCCCACTTTCATTAAAAATATTGGTTTCCTCAAGATTAGATCACCATAAGGATATTTAAAAGCTCTGTGATATTGTTTTACACATCTTTCATACTTAGATCTACTCAAATGTGGATGACAGTAATTATATATTTGTATTTTCAAACTGCGAAAGTGTTGTTTTTATTGGTTCTTTGGTCACATCTAAGCCTTTTCTAAGAGATTTTTTTTTGTTCTCCTCAGCCAAAATGTGAAAACAAGTTGTTGTTTTTTTTTTACCTTTGACAGAGTGCATCATAACATTTTAGCTCTATTTGTCCTGCTGGCTAATCTACTTTAATTATATTTTGGAAATTCCTGGGTTGGAATGGGTTGACTGCTACTCTTAAAAAGCTGGCTGAATGAAAAGCATCACCATTGATTGATTTATTTTAGAATTTGCACTGCAAAAAAACAAGTCTTTAACATCTGAGTTTAATGTAACACTGTATTCAATATATACAGTCCATTTGACCTTATTTTGTTACAAATTTTGTGCTTGACCTTCATGTTTTATTTGCATCTTAACTAAATCACACAGATACATGTTTTCATTGTAGGTCCTAAAGCTTTGTAGATATAATAAGCAGCCTTTTGTTTTGAATGCACCTTTGCCTTTCTTCTCAAGTAAGTGTTGAACTAAAATATAAATATCTTTGGCAAAGGGAGAAATAGTCCAAGGGAAGCTGATCTTCAGAGAATGAAAACTGGTATTTACTGAAGAAATAAAAGGGCAGGATGAAAAGAACTCATCATGTAACTTCAGATTCACATAAAACACAGAATGTCTTATTTAGGCTTGCACTCAGTTTGTTATAATCAGTCATATTAGAAAACATTTCCTTATTTATCAGTCAGCTGATAAGGAAAAACAAAAGGCAAGATCAAGTAAAAACCTAAATAGTTTGTGCAGTAATATATAATAGGTGCAATTAGTTGCCTTTGCAGGTGATCTGCGAAGGTTGTGTGAACACCAGCATTAAAAAGTGCTGCTGACATGGAGAGTTTTAAAAAGCAATTAGGATTTTTGTCTAAAGGTGGAGGCAGTTTGCAACAGCACTGCACAAAGATGGCAGATATAATCAATATATGGAGAAGATGCAGGAGAAAGAGGAAGAGAGGGGACCTTTGAGATAAAAAAAAACCCAGAACCTAATTAATAAAAAAATAAAGTTCCACTGCTTAACAACGTAATATAACTTTTATGTTATTTTCTGTTATCAATGCTTATCTTTCCTAATGCACAACTTTAATAACAAGAAGGAAAATGACATTTAAGTTCTCCAGATTCACAATTATTCATAATGTTACCTCCTAATGTACAGAGTTTGATGTTTTCAATAAGATTAAAAGCATCTGGTCAATTTTAATTGACTGCATAAATTTAGCAAGTTAACAACCAAAATGCCTTCTCCTTTCATTTATAAGGTTCTCTCTTTTTAAGACCATTTGTAACCACAGACTTTTCTTTCAGGTTTCTTCATAATGGTTCAAAAATTAATAAAGGACCCTAGTTTGGGATCTTAAGGGATGCTGATACCTAGATAACTACCTATTTTTTAAAACTGATGTGGCACACGGAAATTATTTCAAATTCTTAAAAGCTAACCATTCAAATTTATAAATGTGAAACCGTAAAAGTGTTAGAGAGTTGAGTAAGGTTGATAGAAAGGTGATATCTGTTAATACTTTCTATGAAAACTTGTAATGAAAAGGGGATAACTGTTTACAGACGTATTTGTAGAATTCTTAATTTATTCTGTCTCTGCCAAGAGATTTATGTTTTTAAGTGAATTCATTGAGTCTCTTTCAAGTTAGGAGGGGAGTTAAACGGGTTGATTGACTTTAAATTATAAGGTAGTTTTAGATATAAGGATGGGGCTACTTTATCAAGGTAATTCCATAAAGTATTGTGACACTACCTGAATAAAAATCTACATATTTCTAAAAAAAAAAAAAACATGCAAAATTATGCAAGAAATTAAAACTAAAAAATAAAAGCCCTTTAAAGTTCCTTGAAGGCTGCTCTTTGGTAATGAACATGTTTACGAGGGATAATTAAATGCAAAAGTGGGACATTTTCTTCAATTAGTCCAAGCCTGGTTCAGCTAGTTATTTTTGCCACCTGCTTGAAGTTTTCTCATTCCTAGAAAAAAAAAAAAATTGCCTTTTAATCTTCATGGCACAGATATGAAGCAAACATGTAGGTTTAAAAGAAGCTTCTATGTGTACTACTGTAGTCCTAATGCAGTCCATTTATCTCAAAATAGAAAGCTTTTGCCAAGCATTTCTGACCTGCTCCTTTGCTCCTACATTTGCTCTCTCTCTCTCTGGTTCTGTATTCCTTTATCTACTTCTGAGCATCTGTATATACCCCCCTCATTTTCTTTCACACATTCTCCCTGTTTTTTTGTTCCTCTTCTCCCATTCTCTTGTTTCCCTGTTTTATTCTGCCCTTCTCGTTTTGTGCTGGCATCAAGGAGAGATATGCAGATACTCAACACTTCAGGATGATAAATGCTGTTCAGCGAGCTCTCTGCGCTCCAACCAATGTTACACTGTTATGCAAACTAGCATGAGAGCTGTGACAGAATAGAGAGAAAATGCTTTGTGGTACACAAATGAGTACAGAGGGATTCAAGGACACTGAAACATATTGAGGTGTGAAATGTCAAGGGGGAAAACATGGGTAGTAATCAGACATTGTGAGTTGTTTTCACGATGCTATTACTATAAACCATGAGACTTGGCCTGTCTGGATGAATTGGTCGCTTTATGAGAGCGAAGGCAGAGCTAAACATTTGTTATGTCCCCAAGAGGTGAGGAGGAAACACAATGCTTTCAAAACAGTTTATGAGCCGTCTTGTGATGTATCACCCATATCTGCAGTATCAGCTGCATTTTTTATTCATAAAGGTTCAGACAGATCATGCTGACTCAAAGCATTTTCTTTCTTTGACTATGATTTCATTATTGCAGTTGCATTAACTGCAGTGTTTCTGCAGCAAAAAACATGATGCCTTTGCAGTGTAAAGGCTAACCTCTTCCCCGCATTTACTGCTCCTCGTTCTCTAAGCATGCTCTCGCAATGCTATGAAGAGCTCTAAAGGATTTACATATGGAGCACATCTACAACTGCTAGTACATTACACTTAACATGTTGTGGACATTTAGACAATTCAGACATAGACTGATTTACAGAAGTAATTTCAGGAGGTCCGGCAGAGAGTTTCCACTGTTTACAAAGCTGCCTGGGTTGCATGCTGTCCATGCTGCAGGGAGGACACATCTGTTCCTCCTCCATGAAAACATGTCATAACAAGTGGATATTGGTGCAGAGTCAAGCCATGTGTTCAGCAAGAAATTCTTTAAAGGACATGAATAGAGAGTTATGGACACAGATTCTTTGGTTTTACAGATATCTTTTTAAAACAGTTATAAACATATTTTTAAATTCTGTTTGCACTAAAGTTACCCCTCCAGCAGCACTATATATATATATGCTTTACATTTTTCATTACATCCACTCTGTCAAATCATGTCTTATGCATATAAATGATATAGTAATGTTATCAGAAAGTTTATATCATATAAAGCCAAGGGCTCACGATGGTCTTATTTTTTTTCTCTCCAGTGATGATCTTCAGGATACCTGTAGCAGCGGTTAAGAGTTTTTGTCTATTCTCCAGAGGTGGATTGGACTCTACTAGGCATTTAGAGCGTGAATAATCTAAAACTGGATGTTTGTTGTGGAAGAGTGCAGAAGTGTGTACGTTGCTCCAAACATTTAGTTCTGTTCCTTGGAGAATATTTCTTTGACATCTGCTTAATCTAACGGCTGTTCCGTTCCTGACATTCTAAAGAAGCTGGAAGTTCAAGTTCTGATGACTTCATTAAACAACACAGACATTCTGTCCATGGTGGTATTGAAGTTCAAAATTTACTTAAGATATATCTTGCTCTAGAAAAAGAAGTTGGAACATCATCTGAGGCCAGTAGATGAGAGTGATATGCCTTTGTATATTCTGAGGCATTCAGGTCATAGTAACCACAAAGCAGGGTTAAATTGGAGAAATCAAGGCTTTCACTAACTTTTCTGAAAACTTTTGGACACCTATCCAGGAGTTTTAGTCGATTCTGTCAAAAAAACCTTATAGTTTTGAAGAGATTGGCATAAATACATTACCACTCCATCCCAACAAAACTAAAAAAATAATATTAAAAAAAATATTTAGAGTTAAGAAATCCTCATTTTAAAATTCCAAAAACAGTTATCAAAGTGAGATATGATCATCATTCATCATTGCATGGCAGGATCTGCCCCATTTCAATGTTCATTTAGGACCCAGTATTCAGGCAAGACAGACAATGGGATTACTTCCAAAAGCGTTTATTGAAAACAGGTGGATCTGCGGATCTGCAGTGGCTAGGGCGTCCAGGTCAATAACCTATGCTGGAGAGAAACACAGATTAGTGACCAAGATAATCTGACTGAGGAGGATTATGAAAAAGCAAGTCACTAACCTCGTTAAATAGTTCAGTCAATAGCCAAAGAACAAGGTAGGATCCAGCCGGTGGGCTGCCAACAAAATGCGGCGGGCAACACCCGGATTGTCCCAGATACTGCAGCCACGGAGAACAAGCAGGAGTCCAAAGCCAGGTCAGGCAAACAGATCAGAACAGGAACAGGCAGGCTTAGTGGTCAAGAGGCAGAAGAGGTCAGGATCAGAAATT